ACTAACTACGCCCACAAGAAAACTACTTTTTTCCTCTAGCTTTGCCTCTTTCTGCGTGAACGTAATCTCTTCGTCCACCTTTGACCCTATATCCATGGTGAAGATCGTAGAATGGCTGGGGGCTGCGGTCAAACCAGGTCCGTATTTAATTTTCTAAAACGAGAATCAGAATACACAGGAGAATACATAAATGAAAATCTTCATACATAGTGCACATAGACATAGACACAATGCACCAACAAACTAAATTGAAAGCCGTTTAGAATTATTTTTATCAATTCAAGTATTTTCAAAAACTGCCCCTCGACCTCTCCTTGAAGTCAACCGGAATGGCTAGGGAGAGTAAAACAATAAAAGTCAGAATAATTGTTTTCCACGATAAAAATACACAATATTGATCTATGGTTTATAGCGTAGTATTGTATGTATATAAAATAATATAACATCCCCTATCACCAAAACACCCTGACTCTACTAATCCAAATTAAAAAACAAAAGTGTTTGCAACATTACTATTATTACAAGTAGTTATTTATTTAACACGTTTTTCTTAACTCAGCTTCGCGTTTGTTTGTTTGGTTGTTTGGATGTTTGTTGTTAAAATTGACATCGAAAAATTAGCCCACTTCTGATTGCTCTAGAGACCTGAAATTTGGCATGCATGCTACTTTCGCCTAACAATTTCAGATGCAATCATAAAAACTAGCAATTAGTGACCGTAATTAGCTTAATTTAATTACGCCCCAAGGACCATAAAATTGAGGACATGATTTCTAAAGATACCGACAAGACTGGAGGCCTATTGACACAGTTACTTCGGCCCCAATCGATGTGAGCGCCCTGGCCGTGATCGTATAGTGGTTAGTACTTCGCGTTTTGGCCGCGACAACCCAGGTTCGAATCCTGGTCGCTCAAGATTTTTAGTCCGTGTATTTATAAACACTTTTTTAAAAACCACGTTTTTCATGTGTAGCAACGGACTAAAAAGGAGAAAATAAAATACTTAAAAAAAACTTTTAAAAAAACCACGTTTTTTTATGTGTAGCAACGGACTATAAAGGAGAACGGACACGGTAACACATTGTTAACGGTGACACGGTTGGTACGCTGGGCATGCTAAAATACACATAAACACGTTTTCCTTAACTCAGCTTCGCGTTTATTTGTTTGTTTATGGGAGATTTGATCACGTGATTCGTGAGTAGATCTCCACGCCAGCAACGTAAAATTACACCCTTTCTCTGTTTAAAGCGTATCGGTCGCTCAAGATTTTTTTAGTCCGTGTATTTAAAAACACTTAGTCAAGTCATACTTAATCAAGTGATTAGATAAAGTAGAAAATAAACTATATAAAAAACTTTTTAAAAAACACGTTTTTCATGTGTAGCAACGGACTAAAAAGGAGAAAATAAAATACTTAAAAAAAAACTTTTTAAAAAACCACGTTTTTCTTGTGGACTAAAAAGTAGAAAATAAATTTTCATAGATTTGATGACAAAAAACGTGGGTCGGGCAGATGGGTCGGGAAATTTGATGGGTGAACGTACCCACGTTTTTTGTCATCAAATGTATGAAAATTTATTTTCTACTTTTTAGTCCACAGAAAAAACGTGGTTTTTTAAAAAGTTTTTTTTTTAAGTATTTTATTTCTTTGACTATTTCCAGCCTCAATAAAACCGGAAGTAATTTTTGTATTTATTACACAGATGTTATAAAATATTCAATTTTGGTTGAAAAATATGCTTTCTGGCAATACACATTTGGAACCATTTGGAACCAGATTTTCACAATTTTTACAACAAAACGGAATTGTAACACTTACGACACTGATATCAGATAATTTTTATACACCAAACAAATTCGTTAAGTGTTAAAAAAATGCAAAGGCATAATGCTTCCAACTGTGTAGCAATTATAACATATCATTAACCACTTTGACATAACCCCCCCCCCCCCCCCATACAAAAACTTGCAGTAGGATATAACCCCCACTGTCATTTACCTACTGTATTTACCCCCGCCCCCCCCCCCCAAAAAAAAAGGGGGGGGGGGGCAGTAAGACAGGGTCTACTGGTAATTACCCCGGTCATTAGGATAGAGAAAAAATAAGGATTAGTTAGGGAAAGGTCAATGAGATAGACCTTGGCACATGTTTGGTATAGGGTTCTGGATAAGGTTTGGGATAAGGTTTCATATATGGTTTGTGATAGGGATAAGGTTAAGGATAAGTATAGTTTTTGAGTTCGGGATTGGGTTAGGGTTAGGGAGCATGAATTTCAGATAAGCATAAGTATAATATAGGCCTATATATATATATATATATATATATATATATATATATATATATATATATATATATATATATATATATATATATATATATATATTTATTTATTTATTTATATATGTATATATATATATATATATATATAATATATATATATATATATATATATATATATATATATATATATATATAACTTAAACCGAGTGGTATATGGCAACAGGCAATTATAAACTGTAAATTGGAGGATGATTGGAGGGAGGTAATGTAAAAGACCAAGGCTCTACATTTATTAATGATGTCCAAACTTCTTGACCTACGTCAGCTATATCGATCACCGACAGGTCAGCACTTAAGGTCACTTGACTCAAATCAAGCGACTTCACATTGCGCTGAGCATGCCAGGTGTTATTTTTAAGTACTCACCCTATTCTCTTTGATCATGTCCGATACGCATTTCCTTGCCGAGGAGAAGCCCTTAGATAGACCGGTTTTCTTCTTCGGGTCCTTTACCGGCCTTTTTAGGGGAGAACGCGAGAGGCAGCGTCTGAAACACTTGTGATGGGCGGGGCTTCGGTGGGGAACAGCTTCTTGTTCATTCTCCTGATGATGATGTGGGTAATACAAGTTTATAACGACAGATTTGCGTCTGTCTTTTTTTTAGGGTGGGGGGGGGGGGGGTGTAGGGGGTGCCCCCTTCTCATTTAGACAATAATATTAAAATCTAGACCAAAATGGGCTATATCTGCTAGTTTAAACTTGGAGAAAGCAAGACAAGTTCATTCTGAAGAATACTTAAATAAAGAGATATAAGTTTAAAATGATAAATCATCATCATCTTATCTTTCCCCGTTCGTGCCCAAGACACATAGAACAGATGAAGTAGAGTTAATGTTTCGGGCATATAAAGGTATAATGTGGTTAGCTTTCCCCAACGTGAGTTATGTACCAATTGGAGCTAGGTGGACTCAAGGACATTCTAGTGACTTGAACTCGGATTCGAACTCGAGACTTTGCAGCCTAGCTCTATGTTAATGATAAATAGACGTTGTTTTAAAATAACTATGGCGGTTCTTTCATACCTTGAAAGTAAGAGCTAAAGCATGGTAATTATTTAAGTTATTTCTACGGTTGCATCAATTTAGGTTGCATCAATTCACCGACATCTCCCTCCCCCCCCCCCCCCATCTCCATGGACAACCCCTCTTGCATGCCCTATTATTTACAGAGTTTCTTCCAGAATTTCTACCGCCCCCCCCCCCCCCCAATGAAATGAAATTTATATAATTTATATAGAAAATATATACTTTTAACAGTGTCCGCCCCCCCCCCCCGAAGAAAGTCTACCGCCCCCCCCCCCCCCCCCCCACCGAAAATTTCAAGTGCCCCCCCCCCCCCCCGGAGAAAAAAGTCTGGAAGAAAGAGTGATTATTTACTCACTAGTGTAGTACTTACTTGAGCAGACGGCTCAGCTTTAGCGTCTTCATCTTCTGGTCCTAGACTCCCGCTGACCACTGATGGTGCCTTGGGGTCCAATGCTGTCATTGTGGTAGCTATGCTTGGTGCCATTGAGCTAGCTACGCTTGGTGGCTTTGAGTTAGCTACGTGGTGGCTTTGAGTAGATTTGCTTTCTGTCTTTGTGCTAGCTACGCCTTAACCTGTTAACATAATATTTGATTGTTGTGTTTATATACGTTGTGTTTGTTGTGTTTTAACCTCTGTGTATATTATATGCTGGTTGTGGTTTGGTTTTAACCTCAGTGTATTAGTAAATTATATGCTGGTTGTGGTTTTAACCTCAGTGTATTAGTATATTATATGCTGGTTGTGGTTTTAACCTCAGTGTATTAGTATATTATATGAAGGTTGTGTTTTTAACCTCAGTGTATTAGTATATTATATGCTGGTTGTGGTTTTAACCTCAGTATATTAGTATATTATATGCTAGTTGTGTTTTTAACCTCAGTGTATTAGTATATTATATGAAGATTGTGTTTTTAAACCTCAGTGTATTAGTATATTATATGCTAGTTGTGGTTTTAACCTCAGTGTATTAGTATATTATATGAGGGTTGTGGTTTTAACCTCAGTGTATTAGTATATTATATGGTGGTTGTGGTTTTAACCTAGAGGAGATAACGTAATAGCTGATTTTTGTGCTTCTAATGTTGTGTTTTAAACTTGCATTTGTTAACATAATATATGTAGTCGGATTTTATGGTGGAGTTAAATTTGGTGCAAGAAAAATCTATTGTCATAAAGGATAACATTTGGACCGGACATAATCCTGAATGGGGTGTATTCAGGCCCGGGTCGTATTCCTGTCCGGGTCGTATCCCGATGCAAGACTTATTAGGGTCTATAGTTTCGCTATGCGAAGAGCTTACTTTACTCAAAACAATATATCTGACCCAAATCGTGACACTCCCTCTCTCTAGCCCCAGTAGGAGTGATACGGATCAAGTTGGGATACGGATCAAGTTGGGATACAGATCAAGTTGGGATACGGATCAAGGTGGGATACGGATCAAGGTGGGATACGGATCAAGGTGGGATACGGATCAAGGTGGGATACGGATCAAGGTGGGATACGGATCAAGTTGGGATACGGATCAAGGTGGGATACGGATCAAGGTGGGATACGGATCAAGGTGGGATACGGATCAAGGTGGGATACGGATCAAGGTGGGATACGGATCAAGGTGGGATACGGATCAAGGTGGGATACGGATCAAGGTGGGATACGGATCAAGGTGGGATACGGATCAAGATCTAAACATGACAATGATCAAAACAGCGTTACTGTATAGAATAGATCTAGTGAGACAAAAAGTTGACTGAATTATCCAATGTAAAGCCTGTATAGAATAGATCTAGTGAGATAAAAAGTTGACTGAATTATCCAATGTAAAGCCTGTATAGAATAGATCTAGTGAGATAAAAAGTTGACTGAATTATCCAATGTAAAGCCTGTATAGAATAGATCTAGTGAGGTAAAAAGTTGACTGAATTATCCAATGTAAAGCCTGTATAGAATAGATCTAGTGAGATAAAAAGTTGACTGAATTATCCAATGTAAAGCCTGTATAGAATAGATCTAGTGAGATAAAAAGTTGACTGAATTATCCAATGTAAAGCCTGTATAGAATAGATCTAGTGAGGTAAGAAGTTAACTGAATTATCCAATGTAAAGCCTGTATAGAATAGATTTAGTTAGGTAAGAAGTTGACTAAATTATCCAATCTAAAGCCTTCTGTTTCAGTGTTCTATAATCACTAGATTTAATTAATTACAGTTCCTAGATCTAGATCAACTACGTTTCGTAAAAAGACTGCAAGACGCTCATAACTCGATTTGCCTTGCCTTAAATAACAAGACAGTCTAGGATAGTTTAGGTTTTGTTTTCTTTACTAACCTCAGATTTATTGTCGTCCATGTTGACAAAAATTATCTTGTGGATACACTTTTTGTTTATTTACCTTATTTTTTTTTACCAGCACTCAAGTGTGTGATTGGTGAACGGACTAGTCATATGGTGCGCAATTTTCCTATGCAAAAATTGCACCAAATAGATTAATCCAGTGGAATACTTTTATTATTATTTAAAAGTAAAAAGTTCCCTTTTCAACCCTGACGGTCTATATAGGGCAAGTGAGGTAGAGTTCACTTGTTTCTGTGACCTCGGCATATGAAGAGATAGTGTGGTCAGCACTATGCCCAGCCGCCTTTACTTTCCCTAACGTGAGTTAGGTACCCATCAGAGTTGGGTGGACTCAGGGACGGTATGCCGACTTGAACCCGGATTCGAACTTGAGACTTACGGGTTAGCTGTCCAGCTCTCTACCGCTAGACCACTCCGTCCCTTTAATTTAAATGGAAGAAAACTTTTCTTTTACATTTCCAAATATTAAAATAGAAGCCTTAAAAATGTTAAAATTTGTTGTTTTTTTTAAAGAGAATTTATGAATTACAACTTGTTTATATAGTGTATGCAAAAAATATCTTTTACTCTCGTTTTCGTTTACTGAAATTTATCAGAAGCTACTTACTCTACGCGGTATAAAATGTTGGCTAATGTTGTTTATACTGTAAACGGTAACCATTGGCAGAAATGTCTATGGGCTCTTAACCTCTTTGGAGGTACCGAACCCCATCAGTTTCATGAGCACATTCACCGAACCCCTTCAGTTTCATAAGCACATTCACCGAACCCCTTCAGTTTCATAAGCACATTCACCGAACCCCTTCAGTTTCATATGTACATTCACCGAACCCCATCAGTTTCATGAGCACATTCACCGAACCCCTTCAGTTTCATATGTACATTCACCGAACCCCTTCAGTTTCATATGTACATTCACCGAACCCCATCAGTTTCATAAGCACATTCACCGAACCCTTCTAAATAGTTCCATCTTCCGCATTGATAAAATCTGATTGTGTATCTAATGAGTTGGGTGTGTGTCTTGACCGAACCCTGAGACTGACTCACCGAAACCCCGTGGGGTTTGGTCGAACACAGGTTAAGAACCACAGATCTAGGCTCATTAAACTATTTTATGTTAATGGTGTTATGAAAACAGATGTGATTATCTATATATATAATTCTCTTCTTCGAGCCGTTAGAAAACAAGCTGCAAACGCTCTCCCTACCTCCCCACCCATACATGGTTTTAGTGAGCTGTGTTCACTCTAAATGTTTACAAGCAGAGCCAACGATTTTAAACGTAGGGGGGGGGGGGGGAGGGGGGGGGGAAGGAAGGGGGGGGGGGGTTATGGTCCTTAACGAGCTACTTATAGTGTTTTAAAGAAATATTTTCAGTGTCAGCGTTGGTACTGTCGAATTCACAAATTATGAATTATTGAAAATTAGAAACAACTAAATAGCGGCGTATGTTATGCCGCGGGCCGGCTCGTGAAAACTTAATTGTGTGATTTTTTAATGACTTTTCTAAACGTTTGACGTATTTGTTTTCATAATTTTTGGTATGCATTTTTACTTTCTCGTATATACGAAGTATAGAGAAAGTATTGTAATCGTGCAAAAAAAAAAGATCGAGATTTTTGCAAATCTTGACGTTTTACACCTACCTGAGTAGGAAAAACATAGTTTTGCAATCTTGTCCGTTTGTGTGTGTGTGTGTGTGGGTGTGCGTGCGTGCGTGCGTGTGTGTGTGTGTGTGTAAACACGATAACTTGAGTACCGTTACAGCTAGGTTGATGAAATTTCATATATAAGTATTATATCAAAATTGTAGATCCGTAACAACTTTTGAGCGATTTCCGATAACCGGAAAGGGAATTTTTTAAAAGCCTATAACTTGAGTACTATTTCAGATAGATAAATGAAATTTCACGTGTAAGTAAAAGATCTAATTCTCTGCCTTCTGCAAAATTTTGAGTAGTTCCCGTTGACCGGAAGTAGTAATTTTTGCTATTTCCGATTTCTCAAAAAAACGCATGTGAATTTATAAAGTGCTAATAATATTCCGCACTATTATGCACATTTTATTTGGCGCTCACTTGGTGTACAATTCTTTTTTCTGCTAGATTTTATTCTATTTCAAAAAGTTTAAGTACTTAAAATGGATTAAAAATCATGTCTGTATCCCGAGTCGCCATCCCCTGTTGTTTCATATAAGAATATTCGAGAAAGTTTAGGGGAGATCACTCCCGTTTTATTTTTAGAAAAAACTTAAAGCTCAATTCATGTTCTCGTTTCAACATAGAAAGTGGAAACAAATATGGCGTAACTAGGTCATTCTATGTTCCAAAGATATAAATGTATTTAAATCTTTAGTGGAAAGGTTTTTGTAAAACTGATGAACGAATGGCCTGCTAAGTGCTAAAATAGCCAATCAACGATTGTCTTACAAAAGAGAAGCTTCAGGTTAAAATATCCTTTGGAAAAAAATCGTGAGTTCTCTGATTTGATAACAGTGGTTTTTAAAATATTAAATTATCAATTTGTGAGTTGTTTTTTAAACATTTTTAACACAAAAATCTTAATTTAAAAAATAAAAACAATAAGAAAACAAAAAAATTAAGTGTTATCAAAAGTGTCTGCTAAATGTATGCTCAAAATACATAATTTCTTTTTATTTCTCTGAACTTGACAGCGATTTTTAATGACATAAATCTATATAAAAATTTAGAGCAGAGATTAATATTACGATCGCTAAATATTTTGAACGCTAAATATTTTGTACGCTAAATATTTTGATCGCTAAATATTTCGATCGCTAAATATTTTGTACGCTAAATATTTTGATTGCTAAATAACTCAGCGAATCAATTTTATCAACTTTACTTTGAGACGAAGCAAAGTTTATAATAAAGAATTATTGGTTGATATATACGTGACATAAATACTATATTAGACCAGGACAGAGAGATTTATAAAGATGTCTTTTCCAATCTTCTTCTTCTTCGTTTTTAATTCTAAAGGGATTCCCTCCAACACAATAAAGTATTACGTGTCAACTGGTTATGTGCTTCCATTGACTCCAATTTCAGCCTGCTTTTCTTTTTGGATTGGCTTCCATAGCCTTTGTCCAACCAAGAACAAACTACAAGGCAGCAGTTGTTTGATTTCGGAGTTGTCTCTCCTCGAAGAGTTGCTGTCCCCAGCTAACGAGCCTCATCTACCCGAGTTTTCCATTCTAGTTATAAAGATACAAAACAGCTTAAAGTATCAGAGGTAACAATCAATATAAACTCTAAATCACTTTCATTTGAGCTACTAAATACACCTTGACGTAATTAATGCCTGAAACACTCACTGTAATTAGAGAAACGACTAAATTAATGCAAGTAGCACACTGTAATTAAAGCTACCAAATTAGACTGGACTTAATTTTTGTCATGACGTGCTTATAAATTAAAACCATCTACACATTGTTTTAAAAAACAACAACAACAAAAAAAAACAACACTTTAGTTAGTTTTAAAACATCAGACTTTTATGAACGCTTTTTGTTTTCTTTAAAAAGTTTCAACAAAAACAATTCACACATATACACTAGGAGGATTGAACACTAGAAGAGACTTTAGTTAAATTGTTTAAATTATCCAAAAATAGAACTTCAACGACGGCCTCTGTTCAGTATTTTATCGTCCTCTTGATCGAAAACCAAACCTGAAATAAAGATGAACGATTAATAACAAATTTATGATGATCTATTATTTTTTTTTTTGCATTGATTTTAATTATATAATTGTTGCCGGCGTGGTCGAGACGAAGAGCGCTCGACTGCTTCCCCGAAGGTCACAAGTTCGGATCTCCGCCTGGACCCGTGACTATAGCTCGTCCCTGAGTCAACCCAGCTCAGGTGGGTACCTGTCTTACAATCTCAAACATGCGAACTCTACTTCACCTGGTCTATGAATCGTTATGTCTCAGAGAAGAATTCGACTGATATTTTTTTAATTAGTGTGTGACTGGTCTAATTAGTCTCCTAAGCTACATCAGCAGTGATAAGGCCCAACTGACCAGCAATACAGGCGGTGACGAAACAAGCGACGTTCCCAGCCACCATGGCCCTGAAGATCAGTCTCGACATCGTTGCCTTGCGAGCGGGTGCCATGGCCGACAGACTTCCCAGGAGGATCCCCATGGAGCCGACGTTGGAGAACCCACACAGGGCGTAGGTAGCGATGGTCTCAGAACGGTGCTGGAATGGTTTGATCTTTTGTCAGAGGTGTTTTGTCGAAGGTGTTTTGTCGGAGGTGTTTTGTCGGATGTATTTTGTGGTAGATGTTTTGTCGGATGTATTTTGTCGGAGGTGTTTTGCCGGAGGTGTTTCGTCGAAGGTGTTTTGTCGGAGGTGTTTTGTCGAAGGTGTTTTGTCGAAAGTGTTTTGTCGAAGGTGTTTTGTCGAAAGTGTTTTGTCGGAGGGGTTTTGTCGGAGGTGTTTTGTCGAAAGTGTTTTGTCGGAGGTGTTTTTGTCTGAGATATCTTGTGGGAGATATTTTTTTTGAGAAAATGTATTCTAATATAATATATCCAGATATATCCTAAGATCATTTGTCCGTGAGATTATTTGTCTTTGAGATCATTTGTCCTGAGATTATTTGTCCTAAGATATTTTGTCCTGTTATCAATTGTCCGTGATATATTTAGTCTGGTATATGTGTCTGAGGTAATTTATCCCGAGATTATTTGTCATGGGACCATTTTGAAAACATCGGTAGAGCTTATTTCACGGCTAACACGGCTATCCCGCGTCGCATTAGTCCTAAACCGAAAACTAGATGTACTGTTCAAAATTATTCATAACTTTCTTCCATTTTTTAAAATCATATTCAACTAGTTTCCTTGTCCTATTTTATTTAAATTTACCGCTAAATAACGTAAAGTTACTTCCGTCCGTCAAGTAAAAAGGGATGTTACTTTCGTACTGCAAAAGGGATAAGGTAATGAAGAAGTAATGATTAGACTAATCTCACCAGCCTAAAAATAGCATAAAAGGTTAGGCAAAAGACCAAAGAATCTTATATATACTATTTAGGTGAGATGTCCTATATAGGCGATATGTCCTATTTAGGTGATATGTCCTATTTAAAGGGATATGTCCTGTTTAAAGGATACGTCCTATTTAGGCGATATGTCCTGTTTAGATGATATGTCCTATTTAGGTGATATGTCCTATTTAAAGGGATATGTCCTGTTTAGATGATATGTCCTGTTAAGGATTACGGACACAAAACATGACTAAATGAGAGCGGAGTCAGCCCAATGAACTGACTTGAGTCAGCTTTAAATTACTGCGTTAACTCTAGTGTCCATACTTGGCACCCGAAAGAAGTCAGTCATCTCCCACCTAATAAAGTACCCGCCGCCAGACTTACAGAAATAAAGCCGCCTTCTATCCGATTGCCGTTGAAGCATTAGTTAGACCCATTCCCCAAGACGTACAGAAATAAAACCACCTTCTATGCCGTTGAAGCATTAGTTTGACCCATTCCCCAAGACTTACAGAGATAAAGCCGCCTTCTATCCGAGTGCCGTTGACGCATTAGTTAGACCCATTCCCCAAGACTTACAGAGATAAAGCCACCTTCTATCCGAGTGCCGTTGAAGCATTAGTTAGACCCATTCCCCAAGACTTACAGAAATAAAGCCGCCATCTATCCGAGTGCCGTTGAAGCATTAGTTAGACCCATTCCCCCAGACTTACAGAGATAAAGCCACCTTCTATCCGAGTGCCGTTGAAGCATTAGTTAGACCCATTCCCCAAGACTTACAGAGATAAAGCCACCTTCTATCCGAGTGCCGTTGATGTATTAAACCCATTCCCCCAGACTTACAGAGATAAAACCGCCATCTATCCGAGTGCCGTTGAGACCACCGAGATAATAGTCGCGCCCTACCACAACGACAGGATCGTCGGGATAATGCTTGATATGGTCAATATACGTCTCTCGGTTCCCAATGTAGACTGCGAGTTTTCTGTAAGGAATAAACCAAGTCAATTTTTAGTGGTGGGGGGGGGGGATTGTACTTAACTCTTCGGTAGCTATAATTTGGGTATCTAGTTTAGTTTTCTGTGACATATTGTGTAAGTACGTCTAGTTTTGTCTGACGTGTGGTGTAAGCACGTCTAGTTTTCTGTTTCGTGTGGTGTAAGCATGTCTAGTTTTCTGTGACGTGTGGTGTAAGCACGTCTAGTTTTCTGTTTCGTGTGGTGTAAGCACGTCTAGTTTTCTGTGACGTGTGGTGTAAGCACGTCTAGTTTTCTGTGACGTGTGGTGTAAGCACGTCTAGTTTTCTGTTTCGTGTGGTGTAAGCATGTCTAGTTTTCTTTGACGTGTGGTGTAAGCATGTCTAGTTTTCTGTGACGTGTGGTGTAAGCACGTCTAGTTTTCTGTTTCGTGTGGTGTAAGCACGTCTAGTTTTGTCTGACGTGTGGTGTAAGCACGTCTAGTTTTGTCTGACGTGTGGTGTAAGCACGTCTAGTCTATTTTTCTTTGACGTTTTGAGGATATCTTACTGAAAGGCGATGAACTCGTTGGTGAATGTTTTGATGCCAACCAGCTCCGCGACCTGCATGCAGTCCTGGAGCTCGGTACCCATAAACAGGGCCACGGGGAACATTACGTAGGAGCAAAGAAGCTGGAGATAGTGGTCAACATTGGCTTTGGTAAACTTTTTTGTTAGTAAACATTGTCATTACTTTCGTAAACATTGTTCTTACGTTGGTAACTCGTTGTGTTCTAGACATAAACATTGCCATTACATTGGTAGATATTTTCATTACATTGATGGATGTTTTCATTACATTGATGGATGTTTTCATTACAATGGAAAGACGTTTTTTTTATTAGATTAGAAGTGTCATTACATAGGTAAACACTGTGTATATCTATAGAACACAATCTCAACATGACACCTTAGGATAACTAACAGCATAGGTACCTCGAATATTAGATTAGCAAACACTTTAGTTAAACAAACAGCATTGGTAACTTTAGGTAACAAACAGCATTGGTAACTTTAGGTAAACACACAACATTGGTAACTTTACCGAAACACACAACATTGGTAACTTTACGTAAACACACAACATTGGTAACTTTAGGTAAACACACAACATTGGTAACTTTAGGTAAACAAACAGCATTGGTAACTTTAGGTAAACACACAACATTGGTAACTTTACGCAAACACACAACATTGGTAACTTTACGTAAACACACAACATTGGTAACTTTACGTAAACACACAACATTGGTAACTTTACGTAAACACACAACATTGGTAACTTTACGTAAACACACAACATTGGTAACTTTACGCAAACACACAACATTGGTAACTTTAGGTAAACACACAACATTGGTAACTTTACGTAAACACACAACATTGGTAACTTTACGTAAACACACAACATTGGTAACTTTAGTTAAACACACAACATTGGTAACTTTACGTAAACACACAACATTGGTAGCTTTAGGTAAACACACAACATTGGTAACTTTAGGTAAACACACAACATTGGTAACTTTACGCAAACACACAACATTGGTAACTTTACGTAAACACACAACATTGGTAGCTTTAGGTAAACACACAACATTGGTAACTTTACGTAAACACACAACATTGGTACCTCGAATGACAGATTGGCCACGCCCACACGTGTCCCCAGCCAGTTGAGGGTGGCGTTGACAAAGTTGAGCAATGACAAGAAGGCCATGACATTGACCATGACGCAGGCGATGATTCCAGTGGACATAATGGCACCAGAACACGCTGCTTCGATCACATTTGACTCTTTGCTTTAACAATTATAAAGTTATTTTATACAGAATATCTGTACATCTATACGTACTGGGATAGATATAAACATAAACATAGGTGCTGGTGCAAGTACAAGTAGTTGTTTCTTTCATTCATTTCTTGACCACCCCCCCCCCTCCTCCCGGAAATATTTTAAATATACAAATTATATTTAAAATATATAGTTTAATGAATGTCCGCTTCCCCCCCCCCCCCCACCTCACCATTGAAGTTTCAAATGTCCCTCCCTCTTTTAGAGTAAAATGTCTGAAATAAAAACTGATAAGTAAAATAACTCACAAATATACATTTACAAGTACATGTACAAGTAAACTTCCAAGTACATGTACAGGTAAAGATACAGTTGCAAGTATAAGGATACACCTTCACGTAAACCTAAACCTACACGTAAACCTAAACCTACACGTAAGCCTAAACCTACACGTAAACCTATGCGTTAGTGTACAGGAAGAGGTATAGGCACAGGTACATGTAAATATATAGGTACAGGTAAATATACAGTCGCAGAAACAGTTACAAAAAATAAATATACAGGTATAGGTAGGCAAAGGTATAGTCCCAAGTGCATGTGTTGGTAAATATGCAAGTGGATGTACAGGTATATGTAAATAAATAGTCAGAAGTACAGGTTAGTATAACAATCTAAGTAAAAGTACAGGTACATGTAAATAAACAGTCTCAAGTACAGGTAAGTATAACGATCTAAATAAAAGTACAGGTACATGTAAATAAATAGTCAAAAGTACAGGTAAATATAACGATCTAAATAAACAGCCACAAGTACATTTACATATAACGATCTAAATAAAAGTACAGCTACATGTAAATAAACAGTCTCAAGCAGTGGCGTAGCGAGGTCGGGTGTCACCCGGTGCGGCACTTAATGGTGTCACCCCCCCAGACCCCCCCAGAGGCATAGAGACCCTTCCCAGGGACAAACTTTCAAATTTTCGATTTGCACCCCCCCCTCGAGTTTTCGATTTGCACCCCCCCCTCGAGTTTTCGATTTGCACCCCCCCCCTCAAACTTTCGATTTGCACCCCCCCCCCCTCGAGTTTTTCTCTATATATTTTGCTATTTTTTGCCTTGGTGTCACCCCCCTAAATGGTGTCACCCGGTGCGGTCCGCACCCCCCGCCCCCCCCCTCGCTACGCCCCTGGTCTCAAGTACAGGTTAATATAACGATCTAAATAAACAGTCACAAATACATTTACATATAACGATCTAAGTAAAAGTACAGCTACATGTAAATAAACAGATTTAGGCTAAGGATATGTCAAATATATTCTAAATCTACTCACGATCCTTCTAATTTTAAATAATCTGCGTCTGTGACTATAGGGATTTCGATTTCAGGGTAGGTCAGCTTTGATATGGCTAGGGCGGCAGGTGCTGACATGACGGAGGCTGACAACAGATGGTCAGCGTCAACCTGTTGGATGATGGACAAAGTCAAGGTTGTTGTTGGATGTTGGACAAAGTCAAGATTGTTGTTGGATGTTGGACAAAGTCAAGATTCTTGTTGGATGTTGGACAAAGTCAAGGTTGTTGTTGGATGTTGGACAAAGTAAAGGTTTTTGTTGGATGTTGGACAAAGTCTAGGTTGTTGTTGGATGTTGGACAAAGTAAAGGTTCTTGTTAAATGTTGGACAAAGTAAAGATTCTTGTTGGATGTTGGACAAAGTCAAGGTTGTTGTTGGATGTTGGTCAAAGTCAAGGTTGTTGTTGGATGTTGGACAAAGTCAAGGTTGTTGTTGGATGTTGGTCAAAGTCAAGGTTGTTGTTGGATGTTCGACAAAGTCAAGGTTGTTGTTGGATGTTGGACTAAGTAAAGTTTCTTGTTGGATGTTGGACAAAGTAGATATTATTGTTGGATGTTAGACTCTTTAGTTACCCCAAATCCTATGTACGCCCCCAGAACACTCCCAGCGATTGTAGCGAATCCTCCAACCATGACGGCGTGCAGCTCAGAACTTGTCATGGTACCAATGTAGGGACGGATCATCAGGGGAGACTCAGTCTGAGGTGAACATCCCATAATATTTGAGTTAAAAATAGGATAGTGAGGTTTTAAAAGATACATATAACTGTACGAATAAGTTTAAAATATAAGGGTGTAAAGACAAGCAAAAATGTTTTTTTTAAAAATATCTTTAAAAAATATCTTTAAAAATTTCTTTTATAAATATTATTCATATTTAAAATTCCACTTCTTCAAAAAGGTTACAAAATATCTCAGAGCCAACATCTCTGTTAATTATCTCAGAACAAAATATCTGCTAAATATCTCAGAAATAATATCTCGGATAAAAAAATCTCACACAAAATATCTTCATTCAGACTGCAACAACCACTTTTACTAACCTAACACCTCACAGCAACAACAACTAACCACAGCACAGCTACAGCCACTAGTTCTTACCATTGAGACGAAAATATTCCCGGCAGCATTCAAGGACTCGGCTGGGGTGGTACCCAGACAGAAAGCCAGGAATCGTCCAATGACCAGGACGATTTTCTGCATGACACCCAGATAGTAGAGCACAGATATCACGGTGCTAAAGAACGTGATCACGGGCATAATCTGGAACAAGAAACAAACTTAGCACATCACAGAGATCACGGTGCTAAAGAACGTGATCACGGGCATAATCTGGAACAAGAAACAAACTTAGCACATCACAGAGATCACGGTGCTAAAGAACGTGATCACGGGCATAATCTAAAACAAGAAACGGACTTAGCACACTGCAGATATGTCTCATTTTTTCTGTGTCTATGATCAAGCATTGTTTCTACAGTTATGTTACTCTGACGTTTAGATACATTTTCTTACCAGGTGGTAGGACACGGGGTCCCGTACCTGGTGGATGGGGAAGTTAAGCCAGGTGAGAACCTGGTGGGTGGGGAAGTTAAGCCAGGTGAGAACCTGGTGGGTGGGGAAGTTAAGCCAGGTGAGAACCTGGTGGGTGGGGAAGTTAAGCCAGGTGAGAACCTGGTGGGTGGGGAAGTTAAGCCAGGTGAGAACCTGGTGGGTGGGGAAGTTAAGCCAGGTGAGAACCTGGTGGGTGGGGAAGTTAAGCCAGGTGAGAACCTGGTGGGTGGGGAAGTTAAGCCAGGTGAGAACCTACGGATGAAGCGCGACCAACATGTAGTGTTTCAAACCGATATCTTCGTGAGATTGTTCCAGCCCCCATAGCCAGTTAACTGGAGTTCTAGAAGCCGGTCTGGCTAATGGGAGTCCAACTCATGAGCCGGTATTGCCGTGTCACGATTGTTACATGTTCTAAGATAGACCCTCAACAGTAGCTCGACTTTACAGGTAAAACCAATCTTATGGTGTGATTTATAACAGTATTTATACTTATCAGAATATGAGATAATTACACTTACGGTGAATGCGAATAAATGAATCCTAAAAGAGTCTAAAAACTCAATCGGCTCCCCAACAAACGGCACAATCTTCCCGTAGTCCCCGAAGACAAACTTGGCGCCGGCATCGCTGTGGGCGAGGAACTCTGTGACCCGATCCCCCAGCCATAGAAAGATGTTGTAACCCACCTTGGTCTTGAGGATTAACACGGCGAAGTAGAACTGTACGGTGAAGCCCCAGTAAATCGGGTGCCAGTTGATCTAAAGGGAAAAGAGGTGGGGATTTTCAAAAAGGTTTTAATTACAATTGGGACGGGTTTCTGAATAAAACAGTCATCTCTTAAACAACCGAGTAAAACAGACTTAAGAAACATCATAATTTACACCAGGGGTCTTCAAAATTTTCAGCCCGAGGGCCGCATTAACTATCAAATATAAGTTGGGGGACCAGAGCTTCTTCCAGGTATCTCATCGGAATGGCGGAGCAACCCCCCCCCCCTCCACACACACACACACGCCCCCGAGAAAAATGTCTGCCAGAAACACTATCGGTGAACGACAACACACTCGAGGTCCAAGTTTGTTCTCAAATTGTTTCTCACTTGATAAAGTTTGTATGTTGTTCCAAAATTTGAAAGGTACTATGATGTACAAGTTTTAATATTAGGAAAGTCTTCGTTTGGGAAAATACTTATAAAACCCACCCGCCCTTATTTGAACTTGTCTTTAAGGAGGTCATTTGCTGGGCAACTGGCCACATTTACTTCAATGGTATGTGCACCAAATGCTACATTTTCAGTTTGTTTTGAACTTTTCCTCAGCCACCACCAACAAACTTTTTTTTCCGCGGACAAAAATATCTCCGCGGGCCGGATGAGTGGACCTCACGGGCCGCGCCCGGCCCGCGGGTCGTAGTTTGGAGACCGCCTGATTTACACCAATCCAGTCTATGATACAGAAGTTTACATCACAAACATCATTTACACCAATCCAGTCTATGATACAGAAGTTTACATCACAAACATCATTTACACCAATCCAGTCTATGATACAGAAGTTTACATCACAAACATCATTTACACCAATCCAGTCTATGATACAGAATTTGACATTACAGAATTTGACATCACAAACATCATTTACACCAACCCAGTATATAATACTGATTTAAAACCACAAACATCATTTACACTTCGTATTTTTGTTAGACACACCAACAAACCTATTATACGTGCTGTCGTTTACACTATATTTTCTACTTGTTAGTTATCTTTAAGTCGTAATTTTATTTTTTTAAACAAAAATTTTGTAAACTGGAGTTTAAAATATTTATTTTAGCAATAGCACACATATACATTAGCAGTAATACACATATCCATTAGCAGTAATACACCTATACATTAGTAGTAATACTTAGATACATTAGCAGTAATACTTAGATACATTAGCAGTAATACATAGATACATTAGCAGTAATACATAGATACATTAGCAGTAATACACATATACATTAGCAGTAATACATAGATACATTAGCAGTAATGCATAGATATATTCCTCAGAAGAATTTTGGATCTGTTCTTATAATTTTATATTACTACCTGCTACCCAAGATGCTTTCACACAAAACGACAATAAACACAGTGTTTGGGTGTAAAATTGGCTGTTGAAAAACAGGTAAAAATTTGAAAGACAACCAATATCTACAGGTGAAAATTTGAATGACAACCAATATCTACAGGTAAAAATTTGAAAGACAACCATATCTACACGTAAATATTTGAAAGACAACCCCATGACTACATGTAAATATTTGTAAGACAACCACATGTTTGCATGTAAATATTATAAAGACAAACCATATCTACATGTAAATATGTGAAAGACAAACCATATCTACATGTAAATATGTGAAAGACAAACCATGTCTACATGTAAATATGTGAAAGACAAACCATATCTACACGTAAATATGTGAAGGACAAACTATGTCTACACGTAAATATGTAAAAGACTAACTATGTCTACATATAAATATGTGAAAAACAAACCATATCTACACGTAAATATGTGAAAGACAAACCATGTCTACACGTAAATATGTGAAAGACAAACCATGTCTACATGTAAATATGTGAAAGACAACCCACATCGACACGTAAATATGTGAAAGACAACCCATATCTACCCGTAAATATTTGAAAGACAACATATATCTACATGTTTATATGTGAAAGACAACCCATGTCTACATATAAATATGTGAAAGACAACCCATATCTTTATATAAATATGTGAAAGACAACCCATATCTACATATAAATATGTGAAAGACAACCCATATCTACATATAAATATGTGAAAGACAACCCATATCTACATATAAATATGTGAAAGAAAACCCATATCTACATATAAATATGTGAAAGACAACCCATATCTACATATAAATATGTGAAAGACAAACCATATCTACATATAAATATGTGAAAGACAACCCATATCTACATATAAATATGTGAAAGAAAACCCATATCTACATATAAATATGTGAAAGACAACCCATATCTACATATAAATATGTGAAAGACAACCCATATCTACATATAAATATGTGAAAGACAACCCATATCTACATATAAATATGTGAAAGACAACCCATATCTACATATAAATATGTGAAAGACAACCCATATCTACATATAAATATGTGAAAGACAACCCATATCTACATATAAATATGTGAAAGACAACCCATATCTACATATAAATATGTGAAAGACAACCCATATCTACATATAAATATGTGAAAGACAACCCATATCTACATATAAATATGTGAAAGACAAACCATATCTACATATAAATATGTGAAAGACAACCCATATCTACATATAAATATGTGAAAGACAACCCATATCTACATATAAATATGTGAAAGACAAACCATATCTACATTGAACTGAACGGACGGCTCACCAACGCAGGGCTGTAGGACGTCAGGAAACCCAGAATCACAAACATCGCCAGGCCCCCTAGGGACAGGAGATTTCTCGGGCTTTTGAGCGCTACCAACACTATGATGAGGGTAACAGTGACAACCGTGCTGACGATGTACAATGCCCTGTGGGAAGGTAGTAACCATCAGGGCAGTCTTGGAATGGTGTCACCATCAGATCAGGTTAGTCTTGGAATAGAGTCACCATCAGGGCAGTGAGGTCAGTCTTAGAATAGTGTCACCATCAGGTCAGTCTTGCAATAGTGTCACCATCGGGTCAGTCTTGGAATAGTGTCACCATCAGGTCAGTCTTAGAATAGTGTCAACATCAGGTCAGTCTTGGAATAGTGTCACCATCAGGTCAGTCTTGCAATAGTGTCACCATCGGGTCAGTCTTGGAATAGTGTCACCATCAGGGCAGTCTTGGAATAGTGTCACAAATCAGGTCAGTCTTGGAATAGTGTCACCATCAGGTCAGTCTTGGAATAGTGTCACCATCAGGTCAGTCTTGGAATAGTGTTTTAAAAACTATCAAAACACTAACCCATGGCACCGCTAGTGTGGGCCCACCGTAATGTTTTGCGAGGAGCCCTCTGGGATTTTGCCGGTAGACCAGCGAGCCGGTCCACCACTGACCAATTCTTATCTTACCATTTAATTTTTTTCCTCTGCGCCGCCTTGTCCTCATTGTACCTGATCTCATGCATTTGGGTGGTCAGAGGTTTTAAAAACAGCGCTCCAAAGTGGGTGTAGATCATCATCAATATGCCTATGATAGTACACACTAATAGACGGATGGAACCTTCATCTCCGAATCTGAAGTTCATGGCGAAGCCGAAATAGATGAAGTATCCGCATAGAAAGACCATGGTTGTAACAAGCCCATGGTTTCTCTGGTGATAGGAGCATTGGTTAGAAGCGTGGTTTGTGTCGTATGTACAACAAATTTGTGTCGTCATTACAACAAATTTGTGTTGTCATTACAATCAACTTGTGTCGTATTTACAACAAACTTGTGTCGTCATTACAACAAATTTGTGTCGTCATTACAACAGATTTGTGTCATCATTACAACAAATTTGTGTCGTCATTACAACAAACGTGTGTCGTCATTACAATCACCGTGTGTCGTCATTATAACAAACTCGTGTCGTCATTACAACAAACGTGTGTCGTCATTACAACAAATTTGTGTCGTCATTACAACAAACTTGTGTCGTCATTACAACAAACTTGTGTCGTCATTACAATCACCGTGTGTCGTCATTATAACAAACTCGTGTCGTCATTACAACAAACGTGTGTCGTCATTACAACAAATTTGTGTCGTCATTACAACAAACTTGTGTCGTCATTACAACAAACGTGTGTCGTCATTACAATCACCGTGTGTCGTCATTATAACAAACTCGTGTCGTCATTACAACAAACTTGTGTCGTCATTATAACAAACTCGTGTCGTCATTACAACAAACGTGTGTCGTCATTACAACAAATTTGTGTCGTCATTACAACAAATTTGTGTCGTCATTACTACAAATTTGTGTCGTCATTACAAAAAAAACGTGTGTCGTCATTACAACAAAAAATGTGTCGGCACTACCAGAAAAAAATGAGGTGCAAGAAAAGTAGTGCTGCAAATAGTTCTTTGCCAGCTTATAATTAATCCTAGTGCTTATCACCCATCATATCATCGTAGCAATTTACTGTAGCTACACTTGCCGAGTCTTTAATTTTGACTAACCACCCCACCCCCCCCCTTTATTCCTCCACCCCTGGGGCTAATACTTTAAGAATTTGTTGTGTGTGTACGTATTGCATTTCGTTGGTACCACTACGCTTTTAGCATCGAAGGTCTGAATTTGACCTATTAGGTACACATTGGTGGTCAAAAATCTGATCTTTTAAGTACAAATTGGTGGTCAAAATATGATCTTTTAAGTACACATTGGTCGTCAAAATCTGACCTTTTAAGTACACATTGGTGGTCAAAATCTGACATTTTAAGTACACATTTGTCGACAAAATCTGATCTTTTAAGTACACATTGGTGGTCAAAATATGATCTTTTAAGTACACATTGGTCGTCAAAATCTGACCTTTTAAGTACACATTGGTCGTCAAAATCTGACCTTTTAAATACACATTTGTCGTCAAAATCTGAACTTGCTAATTGATGAAAAGTTGAATATTTGACCTGAAGGTCAAAGAATGGTCAGGAAATCTTCATATAATCTTCAAATCCACGAATAAATATCAGCTCACTTCTTAAACTGCTTCCTAAAGCTACAACAGAGGCGTAGCGAGGGGGGGGGGGGGGGGGGGCGGGGGTGTACATATGTCCCCGGCGCCGACCCTAGGGGCGCCAGAATGGGTTGAAAAAAAAATTAAAAGCTCATTTTAGCCGCAGTTTTGCATTATAAATATAAAAAATATAAGGAGGGGGGTGCCAAATTGAAAGTTTGTCCGGGGGGGGGGGGGGCGCCGAATTGAAAGTTTGTCCCTGGGCGCCGGGAAGGGTCGCTACGCCTCTGAGCTACAAAAGTGTCACAACAACAAAAAATCTAAAAAATGAGTTAACTCTTAGCGTATCAACACACATTGGCCAGACCTGATTCGCCGCAAAAATGTTGGTGGTGACTTGCTGAATGGCCAATATTCCGCGGGCCACTATGTTAACTTGGCCAGGGTCTACTGGCTTCTTCTCGAAGACGATGTCCTTATCCAGTTTAACGCCCGGGGCCAGGGAAAAACTAGATTGCGGCTCGTCGACAGCAGGGTGTTCCTTTTGGGACTCGGTGTCCTAGGGGAATAGGGTAGGGATAGTTGTAGGGAGTTAGGTAGGGATGATAGGAATAAGGGAATGTATTGAGGTGAGGAGTTTGCTAGGGATGAAAGGAAATTGGGAAATGTATTGAGGTTGTGAATTAGGTATGGAATAAGGGAATGTAATGAGGTTGGAAATTAGGTAGGGATTAAGGTAATGTATTGAGGTTGGGAGTTAGGTAGGGATGCTAGGGAATAAGGGAATTATTGTGGTGTGGTTTGGGTATCGATGGTATCGAATAAGTTTGCTAGGGAAATAAAGGAATAAGGGAATATATTGAGGTTGGGTATAGTTGATAGGGAATAAGGGAATGTATTGAGGTGTATAGTTAGGTAGGGATGAATCGAAATTGGGGAATGAGTTGAGGTTGGGAAAAGGGAATGTATTGAGGTGGGGAGTTAGGTAGGGATGATAAGGAATAAGGTAATGTATTGAGGTGGGGTGTTCGGTATATTTGATAGGGAATAAGGGAATGTGTTGAGGTGTGGAGTTAGGTGGGGATGAAAGGGCATAAGAAAATGTATTGAGGTGGGGAATTAGGTAGAGAATAATGGAATGTATTTAGGTGGGGAGTTAGGTAGGGATGATAGGGAAAGGGAGTGAAGATGGGTTTCGGGAGTTAGAAAAGGATTGAAATTTGAAATTTAGTAGGGATGGAGATTAGATAGAGATTATCGTTATGAAATCTGGATTTAGGTATGAAATTAGGGAGTTAAGTTGGTATTGAGATGGGGAATTAGGAAAGGATTTGGGATTAGGAATAGGTAGTTATGATTGGGATAGGACGTCAAGAAGGTAATATATCGAGGTTGGGAATGTAATTGAGATTGTGATGGTAAACTAGGGAGAAATTCACTTGGGAAAAAAATGTAAAGATTCATAAAAACAGGAATGTGTTGAGAAGACAGTGGGTAGGGATTAAATGAAGTAGGGATTAAATGAAGTAGGGATAAAATGAAGTAGGGATTAAATGTTGACGGGATTGAGATTTGCAATAGCTAGAGATTGACATGCAGAGATAAAGAGGTAGAGAAGTAAGGAGGTAGAGAGATATGCAGAAGTACCCACGTTTAGAGTGAGATAAGCGGACACAGATCACAGTTGTAGAAAAAAAAAGATATACTCACGACCCAAACAAACTCCGTGTTGCTTGCTGCATCTTGTAAGAGCAATTTTACCTCCGGTATCGTTTCTTCTTTAGGCTAGGAGTTGAGTCAAACTTTTTTAAAAACTTTCTCGTATATGGAGTGTTATATGGAGTGTTATATGGAGTGTTATATGGAGTGTTATATGGAGTGATATATGGAGTATTATATGAAGTGATATATGGATCGTTATATGGAGTGTTATATGGAGTGTTATATGGAGTGTTATATGGAGTGATATATAGAGTATTATATCGAGTGATATATGGATCGTTATATGGAGTGTTATATGGAGTGTTATATGGAGTGTTATATGGAGTGATATATAGAGTATTATATCGAGTGATATATGGATCGTTATATGGAGTGTTATATGGAGTGTTATATGGAGTGTTACATGGAGTGTTATATGGAGTGTTATATGGAGTGATATATGGATAAATTATGCCTGGTCGAATATTGGGTCTACTGTTTAGGACTAGCTAGATTCTAAATCTAGAATTTCCGAGTTTTCAGCTTATACCACAGAATATAGATTCAGATTATAGAACTAGATCTAGATCTAGATAGAAAAAACCAGATCAAGTCGACTAGACGTCAAGATCTAGAATCTAGATCTAGATCTAGATTCTAGAGTAGATCTATAGCTGGAAACAAAATGGTCCTTGGAAAATAAAGAAATATAAAGATAAAGATTTTCATGTACATCTTGGTCATTTAATTGATTTTTTACTTATAAATTATTCCAGTTGATGATGATTTACCTCCTCCATGATAGAAAAATATCCGATGCTAGAAAAAAAACACTTCTTTTACCAATGTCGTTCTTCTAAACAAAACATCTGTACATTTCTGCACTGAATGTAAATAAAAAAGGAAATTCCCGCACAACGCGCACATGTGAGATGTAATTTTTGTAAATCGATCGATATTTAGGGGTCATCCATAAATGACGTCACGCTTTTTTTGACGATTTTTACCTCCCCCCTCCCCTCCGTCACACGTCGTCACAAAAAGCCAGACCCCCCCCCCTAAAATGACGTCACACCTCAACCTACAACCCCCCTCAAAATTGCAGTTGAATTTTTTTAAAACATCGTGATATTTTTCCAAAATCTTGTGTAAACTATTACAATTTATTAAAACAGTAATCTAAAACGCGAAATAACGTCTAAAATTCGTTTTCTAACATTGCTTTTTTTTAAATGCAAAAATGTGACGTCGCAACATCTGAACCCCTCATCACACATCGTCACAAAGTTACGGACCCCCCCCCCCCTCCCCCTAGGAGTGTGACGTCATTTATGGATGACCCCTTATTCAATAAATGGCAGAACTAGGTTTTGAACTACACTAAATACACAATGATTGTTGTTGATTTTTAGATTGCAATCAAAATTAGTTTAATAACAATCTTTTACTACAAAATAATTTTACTTATTAATATAAATAGGCTCTTGTGTTGAGATCTGAGGTGTTGAAATGAGGATGGGGGGAGGGGGGATACTGTATTCATGAAAAGTAAAGACACCAACTATAATACTCTCGAAACTATTCGAAAGGCCCTTTTAAAAAAAAATAATTAGAAAGTAGAAAATGTATTCATAGTAGTGGCTTCCATTTATTAGGAATCGAACTACTAGCCCACTTGTCAAACTCAGCTGAAGAAGAGACACTTGCAGTCTTACCAGCAATTAAAATCAGGTCTTATGTAATCAATATGTAAGCATGTGTATGCTAATCATAGAGTCTACGTGGCAGTTTGATACACGCGGATATGTAAATGTAATCAGTTCATATTGAAGGACAATTTTGTTATACTCCAATTACAATTTGTATTACATTTGTAGCATATTTATATCATATCTTGATTACAATTTTACAAAAACAGCTCACCTTAAATTGTAAAGACCACCCCCCACCCTTTCATCACCGTCTACGACGGAGAATTCTAAAATTTAATTTCTATTTAAAATCTAATTAACTTGACATCATGTAACGCTATCGACGAATGCAAATGTTGTATGTTGCATTGTAGGTGTGGTATTTGCAGGTTTTTAAATGTTGCATGTAAGATGCTATTTTATGTATGCTGCAAGTTGCATGTTATTGTTTTTTTTTTTTAATTCAATATAAGTTGGTTATTTTATATAGCCCTGCATTTAAAAACAATATAAAAGCATACACAGGAAAAATACACACAAAAACACACAACATGCAATCTATTAGATCAGGATAAATATGAGTTATGTTCCTTAAACTTGCATCAAAACATTATTTAATTTTTAAAAAAAAAACAAAGTTATTGTATTATTCATCATAGGTAAGCTTTATTAAGACATTAAGACATTTACCAACAATCTACATTGTTCTGTTTTGTTCTTTATATCTAAACTAAGAAACTAAAAGCGTAAAGCTCTTAACGAAAAATAAAGGGCTAAAACAATTTTAAAATTTAAACTCCTGACCCTGTAGTGATTTCTATCTATTTTTAAAATATGTTTACGAAATCACAACCAAAACAAGAATATACAAGGGGTTATTTTAAAAATAAATAAAAATAGAACATTTAAAGTTTTCATTTTACTTAGGTTCAATTTAAATGTAGAAAGTCGTTGTATTATAAAATAGAATTAAAGCATACAATATTTGTATAAGAAGTTATTTACATACTTAACAAAAACTGCCACACAATATTTTGGTGTAATGTTTATCTTATGTTAAAATAAAAAAAAACGCATTTAAGAGGGTATAATTGAACACATTCAAAATTGTTATTGATAACGAGCAGCGTTTTATGACTTAACCACTCTAAAATTCTAACGAAAATAGTTTGATTAATTTATGGTAAAACATTTACTTTATAACTTATCACAGAAGAAAGACAAGGGCAATGCTATAGTGTTTAATGTTTTTTTAAATGCACCATTGTGTTGTGATTATTAAAAATTCGAATTCAGTTCGATCTGTATGCTTAAATACAATTAAAAACCGCTCTTGCAATGTCTATAGTAAACTTCAAACCACAGTGACAATGTTGTAAGATAAATTAGTAGTGAACATGTTAGTGCCCTTTTACATCTTAGAACGGAGAATCTGAAGATTTCAATTTAGTATCTTTAACATTTACAAAAATAATTTCCAATATTTTATTAAATTTGTTATTAATATTGTATAATTTAGTGAAAAATAGTTGTGTTTGATTAAATAATTTTCATTAAAGAATGTGGCAGTAGGATGAACACTCTAGTATAAAATAATACCCACAAGTAATTAAATAAACAGCTTCAATAGATATAATAGATTCATAATAAAAAAAAATGTACTAAGTTGTAAACTGTTTGATATGACTTGTGTTATAAATCAGATGTTTAAAAAATGCTCCAAAGTAAACGTTATCCTTGGGAAAAGTGAATAGAAAATTTTGTATGGAAAATAATGCTGGTATAAATAAACAGCATGAATGATGTATACAATGCCTATACGTTTTCTAAAAAAAAAAGAATGCCTTTAAAAATGTCTGAACACATTTATAAGTTAAAAATGCTAAGATTAATACATTTAATTATAGATGCTAACATAATAAATTGTTTGGTCAGATGGTTAAATAAAATAAGTTAATTAATTCATGATTCAAAATTGAAAGTGAGAGCGAATTTTTTTTTCTTCATGAACTCGAAATTAAGTTTTAAAAAAAAACAGTATTTGATTTGATCTAACAATAAATATATGTGTGGCTATGCATCATTTTTCACATAAATTAAATGATTGAAAACATACGTAAAATAAAGTTCTAATATAGAAATGCTAATATAAACAAATTTCATAGATATATTTTTTACATTAAGTTTTAAAGTTGAAGTAAAATATCCGATTTTTCATCTGATAAACTCCAAATGTAAGTTAAGAAACAGGAATGTGTTATAATCAACAAATAAAACAAATAAGTTTTTTATTTATCACATTTCTCGTTAATCAAATTCTTGGAAAAACAGACCTGAAACAAAGATAAAATGAATGTGAAATAATATCTCATTTTTGAAATTTCAATTTATTTAAAATTTCCTGTCTTCGTATGTATTTATAGTTATTTATACAAATTTTTGCACTGTAATATTAATGTTATTGGTAAAATGCAGCTTTTGTTTAGAACTGTTATAATTTTTCAATTACTTTTTTATTACATAAAGATAAAAGTAGAATCATTTTAAAATATAAATGTCAAGTGTAATAACTCCAAACCACAGCGATAAAATAAATTTAAAAAGTAAAGCTCCATTTTCAGACACAACAATCCTTAGGCCAGACGAACAATTTTTCTAGTATTTTAAAATCCCAATTTTTCTAGTACTTTAAAATCCCAATTTTTCTAGTTCTTTTAAATCCCAATTTTTCTAGTACTTTAAAACACCACTTTTTCTAGTACTTTAAAATCCCAATTTTTCTAGTACTTTAAAACCCAAATTTTTCTATTACTTTAAACTCCCAATTTTTCTAGTTCTTTAAAATCCCAATTTTTCTAGTACTTTAAAATCCCAATTTTTCTAGTTCTTTAAAATCCCAATTTTTCTAGTACTTTAAAATCCCAATTTTTCTAGTATTTTAAAATCCCAATTTTTCTAGTACTTTAAATTCCCAATTTATCTAGTACTTTAAAATCCCAATTTTTCTAATATCCTGAGAATTGGTTAAAATACCCCCCCCCCCCCCAGCCTTACCGGCAATGCACGCAGTGAAGAAACAAGCGACGTTGCCCGTGATCATGGCCCTGAAAATGATCTTAGACATGGTGGACCTCCGTGTGGGCGCCATGGCCGACAGACTCCCCAGGAGGATCCCCATGGAGCCGATGTTGGAGAACCCACATAGGGCGTAGGTAGCGATGATCTCAGACCGATGCTGGGTAGAGAAATGTAGGAGGGTTAGATGAGGGTTGATGAGGGTTAGAGGAGGGTGGGAGTTACATTTCTATACCAGATGGTTATATTGGTCATTATCATATTATACCAGAAACACACCCCTAACCACCCCCTGACTCCCCTTTATACCCGAGACAACACCCCTGACATCCCCTGGCTCTCCATTATAGCACCACACCCCATGGCTCCCTATTATACCAGAGACAACACCCCTGACACCCCTCGCTCCCTGTTATACCAGAGACAACACCCCTGGCTTCCCATTATACCAGAGACAACACCCCTGGCTTCCCATTATACCAGAGACAACACCCCTGACATCCCCTGGCTCCCCATTATACCAAACACCCTTGACATCCCCTGGCTCCCCATTATACCAAACACCCCTGGCTTCCCATTATACCAGAGACAACACCCCTGGCTCCCCATTATACCAGAGACAACACCCCTGGCTTCCCATTATACCAGAGACAACACCCCTGGCTTCCCATTATACCAGAGACAACACCCCTGACATCCCCTGGCTCCCCATTATACCAAACACCCCTGGCTCTCCATTATACCAGAGACAACACCCCTGGCTCCCCATTATACCAGAGACAACACCACTGGCTTCCCATTATACCAGAGACAACCCCCCTGGCTTCCCATTATACCAGAGACAACACCCCTGACATCCCCTGGCTCCCCATTATACCAAACACCCCTGGCTCTCCATTATACCAGAGACAACACCCCTGGCTCCCCATTATACCAGAGACAACACCCCTGGCTTCCCATTATACCAGAGACAACACCCCTGGCTTCCCATTATACCAGAGACAACACCCCTGACATCCCCTGGCTCCCCATTATACCAAACACCCCTGACATCCCCTGGCTCCCCATTATACCACAACACCCCTGGCTCCCCATTATACCAGAGACAACACCCCTGACACCCCCTGGCTCCCCATTATACCAGAGACAACACCCCTGACTCCCCATTATACCAGAGACAACACCCCTGACTCCCCACTATACCACAACACCCCCGACTTACTGAAATAATTCCCTTCACCAAACGAGTCCCGTCCCCCAGCAGGATATCATCGCCATCAAAACTTGTGGAGTTGGTCCCGTGTAAGTGTACGTACTGTGTGTACTGTTTACGGTTGCTCAGCAGAACGGACAACTTCCTATAGTGTACACACATTCAGTAGATTTTAGTACAAGTAAAAACAAGTAACATTTTTAAATATGACGGCTCATGGGGCAGATGAAGTAGAGTTCACTTATTTATGTGACTTTAACATATGAAAAGAAAGTGTGGTCAGCACTGTGTCCAATCATCTTTTCTTTCCCACAGGAAAGTCCTACGGACTTAATTAAGCTCGGGATTCGAACTCAAGACTTTCGGGTTAGCAGCTGTACCCTCTACCATCCAACCACGACCTTATTATAGCTTCGTGGTTTTATAAAAAAAATCATTTGATTTTACAATTAAGTATTTTAGTTTATATAAGAGCATTCTTATGAGAGCAATTTGGTTTTATATGAATATTTGGATAAAAATAGTGTGGTTTTAAACTGTAATTGCTTGTATAAACTGTTAAGTAGTTGATAAATTAATAACAGACCATTAAAGATGTTGCTAGTTAATATAACTTACTGGTAGGCTATGAACTCATTGGTGAATGTCTTGATGCCAACCAGTTCGGCGATCTGTCTACAGTCGTCAGGTTCTGTCCCCATAAACAGTGCCACAGGGTAGAGGATATAGGAGCATATCAGCTGTAAGACAAAATTGTAGGTGTTTTGTTTTTACTTTCTCGTATATACGAAGTATAGAGAAAGTCTTGTAATCGTGCAAAGTTCTCCACCCCCACCTCTAGCTTACCTCAAACGTCAAGTTCTCCACCCCCACCCCTAGCTTACCTCAAACGTCAAGTTCTCCACCCCCACCCCTAGCTTACCTCAAACGTCAAGTTCTCCACCCCCACCCCCACCCCTAGCTTACCTCAAACGTCAAGTTCTCCACCCCCACCCCTAGCTTACCTCAAACGTCAAGTTCTCCACCCCACCTCTAGCTTACCTCAAACGTCAAGTTCTCCACCCCCACCCCTAGCTTACCTCAAACGTCAAGTTCTCCACCCCCACCCCACCCCTAGCTTATCTCAAACGTCGTTCTCCACCCCCACCCCTAGCTTACCTCAAACGTCAAGTTCTTCACCCCCACCCCACCCCTAGCTTACCTCAAAGGTCAAGTTCTCCACCCCCACCCCACCCCTAGCTTATCTCAAACGTCGTTCTCCACCCCCACCCCTAGCTTACCTCAAACGTCAAGTTCTCCACCCCCACCCCTAGCTTACCTCAAACGTCAAGTTCTCCACCCCCCCCTAGCATACCTCAAACGTCAAGTTCTCCACCCCCACCCCTAGCTTACCTCAAACGTCAAGTTCTCCACCCCCACCCCTAGCTTACCTCAAACGTCAAGTTCTCCACCCCCACCCCCGCCCCTAGCTTACCTCAAACGTCAAGTTCTCCACCCCCACCCCACCCCTAGCTTACCTCAAACGTCAAGTTCTCCACCCCCACCCCTAGCTTACCTCAAACGTCAAGTTCTCCACCCCCAGATTACCTCAAACGTCAAGTTCTCCATCCCCACCCCACCCCTAGCTTACCTCAAACGTCAAGTTCTCCACCCCCACCCCACCCCTAGCTTATCTCAAACGTTGTTCTCCACCCCAACCCCCAACCCCAGATTACCTCAAACGTCAAGTTCTCCACCCCCACCCCACCCCTAGCTTACCTCAAACGTCAAGTTCTCCACCCCCACCCCTAGCTTACCTCAAACGTCAAGTTCTCCACCCCCCCTAGCATACCTCAAACGTCAAGTTCTCCACCCCCACCCCTAGCTTACCTCAAACGTCAAGTTCTCCACCCCCACCCCTAGCTTACCTCAAACGTCAAGTTCTCCACCCCCACCCCACCCCTAGCTTACCTCAAACGTCAAGTTCTCCACCCCCACCCCCGCCCCTAGCTTACCTCAAACGTCAAGTTCTCCACCCCCACCCCACCCCTAGCTTACCTCAAACGTCAAGTTCTCCACCCCCACCCCTAGCTTACCTCAAACGTCAAGTTCTCCACCCCCACCCCTAGCTTACCTCAAACGTCAAGTTCTCCACCCCCAGATTACCTCAAACGTCAAGTTCTCCACCCCCACCCCCACCTCTAGCTTACCTCAAACGTCAAGTTCTCCACCCCCACCCCCACCTCTAGCTTACCTCAAACGTCAAGTTCTTCACCCCCACCCCTAGCTTACCTCAAACGTCAAGTTCTTCACCCCCACCCCACCCCTAGCTTACCTCAAAGGTCAAGTTCTCCACCCCCACCCCTAGCTTACCTCAAAGGTCAAGTTCTCCACCCCCACCCCCACCCCTAGCTTACCTCAAACGTCAAGTTCTCCACCCCACCCCACCCCTAACTTACCTCAAAGGTCAAGTTCTCCACCCCCACCCCCACCCCTAGCTTACCTCAAACGTCAAGTTCTCCACCCCCACCCTGTCACCGAACCAGGTGAGGGTGGCGTTGACGAACTTCAACAAGGACAGGAAGGCCATGACGTTGACGACGACACAGGCGATGATCTTGGCAGACATGATGGCACCGTTACAGGCGGCCTCGATCACATTCCCTTCGTCCCTGGTGATATACAATGGGGTGGGGGGGAGAGGGGGGGGTTGGAAGGTGGAGCTGTATATGAAACCATACACAACACAGTTCACAGCACCCACTAGTGATTGCACTTAAACGGCGTCGATACATTTGTTTACACTTTCATCGCGTTGAAATAAAAGTTGAAATTAAAAAAAAAAAACTCGTGGATTCACTTATGTATTAACACGACGATTTCGTTTAGAGATATGTGACACGTTTTGCTTCAAGTTTTTATGGATGTTTTTTTTTCTACATTATAAAGTCGGGTCTCAAACTGTCTAATAGACGCATATAAGATTGATTGTCAATTGGCTGTTGTTCGACATTAACTATTTATTGTCATATAGGCCTACCAGTCTACAAATGTAGGATGTTTTTGTTAGCCTATAATCAACACTTGGCTTGTTATCAAAACAGTTGTTGACGTCACGTAACCGTGAAATCAGGCCTATTTTCACACCCAATTTTTACTGTTTGTGAATCCTAGTACACTATAACTAGAGGTTCTCAAAGGTGTTCTAGATTCAACACAGCTACACGATTTGAAATTTTCTCGAACTTAAATTACTGCCTAAAAAACTTTTTTTACGCTAGGCTAGGCTATTTTCAACAGAAAATCTAAGCTATTCTTTTGGTCTTTTAAGATAGTCTCTAGATATCAGAGAATTTTAATTTGGTATTCTGTCAACCCTGATCCAATTTCTGGTGAATTCCCCAGGCCTCTACTCAACTAATTAATACCTGAGAAAGAAATAATGAGTAATTATGTTCTGTATAAAGTTGACTGATTCTCTGCTAGTTACACCACAAATCAATGATTATTTAGGATATAACCAACTTTAACGTCTAACTCTTGTGTTCGATAGAACAGATGTTTAACCACGGACCTCTTTGAAAACTTTACGAGAACCCATTTTAATCTCACACACCAAATGAACCTATTTTAAACCACCCCCTCCACAAGGACACAGTCAAAGAACCCCTGCCCCAGAGATAAACTTAGCCAGCCCGAGAATCCGGTATTAAAGCATCACTTGTGTATGTGTCTTATCAGCTTTATGGCCCTAGCACCATATGAACACCTAAACACTTATGTTGTCAACACCATTACCACAGGCATTCATATAACACAATAAACAGTCACTGCCTATATACCGCCCCATATCTCTCCTCTTATTGTACTACGTATCTATCAAAGATACATTTACCGAAGGTGATCGAAATGAAAAGGGTATCACGCTTAGGTAGTCTTTGGCATTTCTAAATAGTAAACACTTGTTGCCAACTGGTTTCGTTCAACCATTTTTCTAGGGTTAAGGGGGAGGTGTACTTGAAACTTCCGAAGGTGCACTCAAAACTTCCGGGGTACGGAAAGTTGTTATATTGTATATTTAGTTTATAAATTGTATATTTTGTAATTTCGTTCAGGGGTGTGGTGGGGAGTGGCCGTACTTAAAAGTGAGGGATGGCTGTGCCCTGGGGAGATGCCAGAAAACGACAGAAGCATTGGCTGGGGCAGATGGGCAGTCGGGCAGAATGCCCTTCCCAGCCTCTTACGTATGTATTTGAATTAAAATGATGACTAGAGCTAAAATTTACTAACTGAGCCGATAACTAAAAGTGAATAAAAACACGGGTTCAAAGCTAAACAGACTACAGTTATACTTAACACTGACAATAGGATATACACAAAATCAACACATTTAAACCTAACACTGACCCTAGGATATACACAAAATCAGCAACTTTAAACATAGCAATGACACTAAGACAGTACATTTGACAAAAAGAAGTCCTTTGAACCCAATACATTGACCAAATGAAGACCTACGATTTCTCAACTTTGTCGTAGTCCTCTGGCTTGACAATGGGCACCTCAATCTCAGGGTATGTGATCTTTGATATAGCCAGGGCAGCAGGGGCAGACATGACTGACGCGGACAGTAGATGGTCAGCGGGCACCTGTAGGGGTCACAGCATTAGAGGTCATTTGATACAGGGGTCAGTATTAGGTCATTTGATACAGGGGTCAGTATTAGGTCATTTGATACAGGGGTCAAAAGCATTAGAGGTCATTTGATACAGGGGTCAAGAGCATTAGAGGTCATTTGATACAGGGTCAGTATTAGGTCATTTGATACAGGGGTCAGTATTAAAGGTCACATGATACAGGGGTCAACAGCATTAGGGGGTCATTTGATACAGGGGTCAGTATTAAAGGTCACATGATACAGGGGGTCAATAGCACGAGAGGTCATTTGATACAGGGGTCATTATTAGGTCATTTGATACAGGGGTCAAGAGCACAAGAGGTCATTTGATACAGGGGTCAGTATTAGAGGTCATTTGATACAGGGGTCAGTATTTGAGGTCACTTCATACATGGGTCAACAGTATTAGAGGTCACTTGATACAGTTAACACAATTGGTGTGTAAGGGGGTTTTAATGAAATCTACGGTTCTCATTTAGATTGTGAATGATTCTTTGGAGTTTATTGTCTAATTATGTAATACTTTACTAATTATGTAATACTTAACGACAAATAACAGATAAATGGCACGCAATTTATTGTGAACAATGACTTAACTAAAGCACCGTTTAAAAATAAAACTAATATTTTACATGTATAACTTGTATATCTAACATTTATATCATCCAAACTATCTAGCCCAACTTAAGTTAACAGCAGCTATATAGCCCAACCCTAGTTAACACACCTCTATAGTCCAACCTTAGTTAAGAGCCGATATAGCCCAACCTTATAAAGCCCATAATCATACAGCCCCCTCACTTAGAAAAGTCATATCTAAAACCCAATCCACACAAAATATCCCAACTTTACTTGCACTTTCTAAAACCGAGTACAAAAAACATTAGCATACTTCACCGATTTCGTGTTGTAACTCGTCTAATGTACCTTTACAATATTGGATTACAGCTACAGGTGTGGGTCACCAGTGCTTCTAGCTAACAAAAGTTACAGCATTAAGATCACCCATGCTTGGGTCATGGGTTCGGTAATACTAGGGTCATGTACACAAATATTGGGAGTCATGTACAACAAATCCCATTCCGGAGAGAAAAAAAATTGTCAATAAAGCTAAAGACGTTGCTATTTTTAGTTACCCCAAATCCTATGTACGCCCCCAGAACACTCCCAGCGATTGTAGCGAATCCTCCAACCATGACGGCGTGAAGCTCAGAACTGGTCATGGTTGGGATGAAAGGGCGGATCATCAGGGGGGACTCGGTCTGAAAAATATACATCGCAGGTAGAAATATATACGTCATAGTTACCTAAGTTTATCATGAGTGAGGGTTGTTTCATAACAAAATTGTGAAAGAAACAAACTTAGATACATTTAGAGGTATTAGACTGAGCACAAGTGTAGCAGGATTAGAAGGGGAAAAATACTTGAATTTTATTGTGTCAGCCGGTGAAGTTAAATTCACACTTTTCTAGTTTAATTAAAGTATATTCATGAAATTGTATACGTACCAGGGGTACAAATATGTTATTCAACACGTAGATGGGTCAAATGGGTACTAATATGTTGTACACACCATGTAGAGAAAGAATTTGTAAGTACCATGGAGATAACAATGTTGTACGTACCATGAAGACGAACATGTGTGCACCATGGATAAGAGGTGTTATACGTATCATGAAGACAAAGATGTTGTACGTACTATGGAGACGAAGATGTTGTATGTAAAAAGAAGACAGATATGTTGTAGGTACTATGGGTAGAAATATTTTGAACGTACTAGATAAAGATGGACGAACAATGGGTACACAAGATGGACGTACCATGGAGACGAAGGTATTTGTACCATAGGTACAAAAACGTTAAACGTTCCATGGACAAGAAGATGTTTAAGTACCATAGAGACAAAGATGTACGTCCCAATTAGTACATAGATGTTTACGTACCATAGAGACGAAGATGTTGTACGTACTATGAATACTAATTTGTACGTACCATGGAGACATAGAGATACGTACCATGGAGACAAGGATGTACGTACCATGGAGACAAAGATGTACGTACCATGGAGACGAAGATGTACGTACCATGGAGACAAAGGTGTACGTACCATGGAGACAAAGGTGTACGTACCATGGAGACAAAGATGTACGTACCATGGAGACAAAGGTGTACGTAGCATGGAGACAAAGGTGTACGTACCATGGAGACAAAGGTGTACGTACCATGGAGACAAAGGTGTACGTACCATGCAGACAAAGGTGTACGTAGCATGGAGACAAAGGTGTACGTACCATGGAGACAAAGGTGTACGTACCATGGAGACAAAGGTGTACGTACCATGCAGACAAAGGTGTACGTACCATGGAGACAAAGATGTACGTACCATGGAGACAAAGGTGTACGTACCATAGAGACAAAGATGTTATACGTACCATGGAGACGAAGATGTTGGCCGCAGCGTTGAGTGATTCCGCTGGAGTGGTCCCCAGACAGAAAGATAGGAACCTGCCAATGACGAGAATAATCTTCTGCATCACGCCAAGGTAATACAGCACAGAGATCACGGTGCTAAAGAATGTTATAACAGGCATGATCTGGAATATAACAAAACAGTAGGTCTTTATAACAGACATGATTTGAAATATATCAAAGTAAATATGTATAACAGGCATAATATGAAATACAACAAAACAATGGAACTTTATTACTGGCATGATCTGAAATATAACACAGACAGGTATAACATACATGAAATGTATAACAATCCTGACATGAAATGTAACAAATCATTAATCATAATAACAGGCATGATCTGAAATATCACATAACATTACAGTAGAACCCAAAATGACAATAGCAGCGTATCTTTCAGACATATGTACTTGGATCTCATCCAATGCCAGCTTTAACAAATATCAGCCCCCACCCCCTAAGTTACAAGTGCCCCCACCCTTGATAAAACAGGTCTGAAAGAAACACTGGACAATGGTTTTGATGTTTAGAAGTATAGCTGCCCGCCACTCAAAAGCACATACCGCAAAGGCAAAAAAGTGGAGCGTATAAACTCCAGAGAACTCGATCGGTTCCCCCTTGAAGGGCACAATCTTGGCGTAGTCCCCGAAGACAAACTTGGCCCCTGCGTCACTGTAAGCCAGGAACTCTGTGACCCGGTCCCCCAGCCACTGGAAGGTCTCGTACCCCCAGCGGGTCTTCAAGATGATGATGGCGAAGTAGAATTGTACGGAGAAGCCCCAGAAGACAGGATGCCAGTCAATCTGTGGAACAGGCAGGATAGTGACCACAGGGTAGGGGGGGGTAGTGGATGTGTGGGTGTGTGGGCATGGGTGTGTAGGGATGGATGTGTGAGTTTGTGTGTTTAGGTGTGGGTGTAATTGTGAGTGTATGTGGGGTTATGGGTGTATGCTAGATGGAGTGTGTGCGGTTGATGTGTGTGCGTGTGTGTAGGCGTGAGTGTGAATGTGTATGTGGATATGTGTGTGGGGGATTATGAGTATGAGGGGGTGGATGTGTCTGCGCGCACATTCGTTTAATCGAAATAGAATATAACAATAATCAAATGATAAAAGGTTTGTTTATTTAAGTTAATAAAACCTAGACTTTTATAAATATAATAGAAAAATTAAAATTATTTTTCACTTCTGTATCATATATTTTTTAAAAAGCAACTGATTTAAATTTAATCTTTAAGATTCTTTCTGTGTGGTTCTCCAACACCATTTTTTTTTTCATTTCCGGTGTAAATACCCTGCATGAAATAATCCTAGACATTAGCGGATTACATTTTAAATCTGACACCTCTTTTAATTTTAGTGTTCAGCTTATGAATGGAACAACAAATTTCTTGCGATTTAAAACAAAAATGTATTCAGTATGAACATGTACTAAGTAGCCTCAAAGGGAAGCAAATACCAGGATGCAAGAGGTTTAAAAGAATGACGTAGCTTGCTCACCATAGCTGGACTGTATGACGTCAGAAAACAGAGCACCAAGAACGCTGCTAGACCAGCCAGGGACAGAAGATTCCTGGGACTGTCCAGTGCCACAACCACGATGATGAGGGTCACCATACAGATGGTGCTGCTGATGTACAGAATCCTGGGGGGGGAGGGTTGGGGAGGGGTCAAAATACTGGACATTTATGACATTTTATGGACACGACAAAATATAACAAGACCGGTTGGAACACGACAAATTTTGACGTCACTGCATGTCACAAACCAAACTGGACACTAACAAACAGAAACACAATACACTTTGACACCATCAACTGCTACACCACGACACACGACTAAACTGGACACTAACAAACAGTAACACCGTACACTCTGACAACATCAACTGCTACACCACGACAAACGACACCATTAATATAGACAACCTCTAGCTCTCACAACACTACCTGAAACACCGCAACCTTTGAAACCACCAACTAACACTACAACATCATACACCAGTAATTGAGACATCTTTAGCTCTCACGCTACTAATGCTAGCCTCCAACACGCAACATCACCAAATGTAACACCACAAACTGATTTCACCAAACATGACACCACAGCACCTGACACCACCAATAAAAACACCTGTAGCTTCTACACCATTTATACACAACCAACTTTGACAAAAACTGGAACACCTAACTAACTCTAACACCACTATCTCTAACGCCATTTACCCAAACACCACTGCAACCACCTTCTAACACCCCATCAACAAACACACCACAAACACCACAAACAGCAACATACCAACGAATTATCCTTCTCTTTTTCTCATGAGTGACGTCCCCTAGAAAAAAGTCGACCTTATCATGGACGGGCTTGAGCACGGTGTCGCCAAGGAAACTGTAGACCAACAGCAGGACGCCGATGATGGTACACACAAGCAGACGTAGGGATCCCTCGTCCCCAAATCTGTAGTACATGGCGTAGCCGAAGTAGGCAAAGTATGCCATCAGGCATATTACGCCTACAATCAGAAGTAATATTCTCTGGGGGGGGGGGGGGGAGGAGGGGGGATAAAAATATTTGTTAGCCAAACAGATCAAGGCTATCTAAAACTTTTGATTTATTTGATGACAAACAATACAACACTTTTAAGGTATAAGACAAATAAAATATTCTAACCCCCCCCCCCCCCCCACCACACCCAGCACGTATCTTTTATTTACAACAAATGGAGGCAGAACCCAGATATAAAGTGATGCAGTTGTCTTTTGATTTAAGTTCTTTAATATTTTCCCATTTCATTTGTTGTAAATTGTAAAGTAAATTAAAATGCTGGTAATAGATTCGATTAAAACCAACAAGAAAAACTAGACTAGTAAGTGACACGATACTATCATGTACCACGATACCAAAATGCGATGAGACAAGTGCTACGATACCAACATGCGATGAGACAACAAGTGAAACGATACCAGTATGCGATACCAGCAAACGATACCTTCTTCTCCGTGCATACTCTCGTGAAACTCTCCTGGGCCCACATGATCCCCTTGGAGAAACAGCTGGCGTTGTTGATGTCGAAGTTTTTCTTCTGTAGAACAATCTCTTTGGTGGAGGAATACATGCCCACAGTCTCATTCTCTTGGTCGTAGGCGTTGTGTGGCTCCAAGTCCACTTTGGTGCTTTCGTCCAGTTTAACCTTAACATAGATATAATACACGTGTCAGTTTATTTTTGTTCGGGTGGATGGGGGGTGCACTATGAAATCACGTGATAATTAAGTTAAACTTTTTTATTGCCTCCGACATGTAATTCTTCTTTCGGACATTAGCCCTTTTGAGCTGCAAGATTTAAAACTAATATGTTATAGATAGCTATGAAGAAAGCCTGTCTGTGTTGTTTTTTTTTTTAAAAAAAAACATAGTTTATAATAAAACATAGTGTAACATAAGTTTATGGACCTAAGGGGGGGGGGGGGGAGGGGACAAAAATAGAATGCGAGGGATGGACTTCTAAAATATAATGTAATGCTACATGAGTTATTTTTGAGTCAAAATTGTCCTATCTATATGGTGTATAAAATGTTCGATAACTCTGATTTAATGACCTTATTAACTTCTCATTTTATTAACTCCCTTATTAACAAAGCATCTTTCTCCCAACCTCTAAACAGACCTATGTATGTCATTGAGAACAGTGTTGTGGTTATCCAATGCTGATGTATAAACAAGCTAGGCCATTACTCTCTTATATTTTTATCAAACACTACAGCAAACGTCAAATAAACACAAACAACATGGCAATAAATCAACCAGACCCCCCCCCCCCTTCAACTCCCCAACCTTACACCCCTAAATAAATCTCAGAGTAGCCTAAAACCAAAGCCAAGAAAAATAAAATATATAATTCACAGGATGTAATTCAATCGTGTTGGCAATGTCTGCGATTTAGTGTCATCCTCTTTTTTTTTAAATCGAGCAGCATTAAATACAAAAGTGTTTTATGAATCTATTTATTTTTAAATTGATTCCAGGCTAGTTGTTAGACAATGATATATTTTGTTTACTCTGGAAGTTGAAGATTTAGAGCAGCGATTAAGTCAAGCAGTACCATGCTGGGTTGAGATGTGGATAAGTGTGATCAAGTTCACAGCTCGGTGTAGGGTGCCGTGTGTGTAAGAGGGGCGGGGGGTGGAAGGGGGGGGGGGGGGTGAATGGTACAAAGAGGGTAAGAGGATGTGTGTGTGTGTGTGTGGAGGGGCGTACAAACAACTTGGGCATTTATAATTCGGAAGACGGTCGGCAAAAAAAATTGTGGGCTCTATAAAATATTACTTTCATAATTATGCTGTCTCAATAATATTAACAGTGATTCCCTATATCGCCATTCATTTAATTTCAGCCTGATCGTATATTTTATTCGTGTTATTATGATTGAATACATTATAACTTGCGCATTCTCTAATAAGATAAACATGATTTGTCTGAAATACAAAAAAATATTTCTAGTTACGTTAATTTGTATCTGGGGTGGAAAGGGGGGATACAGGTGTGTAGACTCGCAGTATTCGTATCAGAAGCGTAGCGACCCTTCCCGGCGCCCGGGGACAAACTTTCGATTTGCACCACCCCCCCCCCCCCACCCATCAAACTTTCGCTTTGCACCCCCCCCCCCCCCCAATCAAACTTTCGATTTGCACCCCCGCTCCTCGATCGAACTTTAGATTTACGATTTGTTTCTCCAACCCATTTTGGCGCCCCCTAAGGTCGGCGCCCTGGGACATATGTCCCCCCCTCCCTCGCTACGCCTCTGATTTGTATAGAACGACCATCAGACGGCAGTGGCCAATCACTTTATTAAAAGAACCGTCGTTCGACCAATATCTCGCATATAACTTCAAACTTGCACAAAACTATTGCCTTCATATATGCAAATCGCGTCTCAAACGGTAAAGGTTTCGGTTTTGGACTGGTTCTTGGATGAATTTCGAGGCGAATTTCATATTTACCCTTTGTAAATACGGTCGTCTTTACATTACACTGGCTATTGAAATGATTTTGAGCTGATTTGTCGTCTTTAACTTCAACCCACCACGCCGAAAACGAGGCTTGCTTTAAAAAAAAAAATGTTTGTTTATTCAAACAGTCACTGGGTTTATACTTAACTGCAAATAATTTTTTTCTGACTTTTTTACTTAGGTATAAATTATTGAATGTAGAAAAATAAAACTGCACATTTTAAGCGTTGGATCTAAACTGTAAAAAAAAAAAAAAAAAAAAAAAAAGCGTTTCAGTTGTGCACCTGACTGTTAAAGATTATTCAGAGAGAAATTATTCTCTTTTTAACTGAAGGCTATGTATAGGGTTACATTTAGCTAGGGTAAGGGTTTTGTGCAGAGCAACGTGTGTTATGTGACATATGAAACACAGATTCTATTTATGAATGTATAGGCTTTATTGGAAGTTGTTGAGTTACCTTTGCAGGATAATAACGCCACATTAAAATTGAACTCTAGCTTTGAGGCAAGTTGTTGTGTGGGTGGTGGATAATTTGGTTGTGTGGGTGGTGGATAATTTGGTTGTGTGGGTGGTGGATACATTGGTTGGGTGTGGTGGATAATTTGGTTGTGTGGGTGGTGGATAATTTGGTTGTGTTGGTGGTGGATAATTTGGTTGTGTGGGTGGTGGATAATTTGGTTGTGTGGGTGATGGATAATTTGGTTGTGTGGGTGGTGGATACTTTGGTTGTGTGGGTGATGGATACTTTGGTTGTGTGGGTGGTGGATAATTTGGTTGTTTGGGTGATGGATACTTTGGTAGTGTGGGTGGTGGATAATTTGGTTGTGTGGGTGATGGATACTTTGGTTGTGTGGGTGTTGGATACTTTGGTTGTGTGGGTGGTGGATAATTTAAATGTGTGGGTGGTGGATAATTTGGTTGTTTGGGTGATGGATAATTTGGTTTTGTGGGTGATGGATAATTTGGTTGTTTGGGTGATGGATAATTTGGTTTTGTGGGTGATGATACTTTGGTTGTGTGGGTGATGGATAATTTGGTTTTGTGGGTGGTGGATAATTTGGTTGTATGGGTGGTGGATAATTTGGTTTTGTGGGTGGTGGATAATTTGGTTGTGTTAGTGGTGGATAATTTGGTTTTGTGGGTGGTGGATAATTTGGTTGTGTTAGTGGTAGATAGTTTGGTTGTGTAAGTGATGGATACATTTGGGTGTGTGGGTGATAGATAATTTGGTTGCCCTGTGATGTTAAAATCGCATCAACTAAAACGATATAATTTTTAAATAAGTATTAACAACGGGCCACGTCCTTCTATATTTCAAACTCAAGATTGAAATTGATAGCCTAGTTAACTGCTACTCTATCCATCCCCCCCCCCCCTACCCACATTAAGTCTATTCTAATGCACGGTGTAGGCTTGCATATACCTAAAGCCTCGGAAACATAACATGAAACCGTGTTTGGTTAACCCTGGGGACGAGGCGACATATGCTGAGTTAAGGCATGGGTTATCTGGGGGGGGGGGGGGATGAGGGGTCAAAGCTGAGGCCAAAGTTCACCAGGGGATAAGGGTGTGTATGTATATATATATATATATATATATATATATATATATATATATATATATATATATATATATATATACAGTTGCAGACCGCAATTCTCGCGATGCACCATACTTAAGGTGGGATATTTTTCACTGTTTAAAGTAACCTACCTGATTGTTGATGCCATTTTTCCCGTTCTCATAAGGCCGATCGGCCTCGTCCTTGGTGTAGCCCGGGTTGCTCTGTCCGTTCTGGCCGTTCTGGTTCAGTGGCTGCACGTGCCTCAGGAAGATTCCGTCCCCCTCCATGACTTGTAGCGTCTACCCAGAGCTTGACTACCCAGAGCCTGACTAAACAGAGCTAGACTACCCAGAGCTAGACTACCCAGAGCTAGACTACACACAGATCTTGAGTACACAGAGATCTTGTCAGCAAGGTTACACGCACAACGGCGAAATGCCCACTGTCAACAAATCCACACAACCCTGACGAAATGTCAACAACTAGCCACCTCCAAAATAACAGCTGCATTAGCAACTCCACATAAGAAATTAAAAATATCACCAACTTCACCAAAATAATAAATCCCTTGAAGTTCTTGTAAAAGATAAATGTCTATAATCCACGATGCTTTCAGCTTGTGTGACAATACACTATCAATTCACAATTCCTGGAAGGGAAATCCTATAGTACACACAACCTCGTTCCTGTGAGTAGAAACACAAAATGATTGTTATGACTTAGGATGATCATTAGCAGTGAAAATAAAAATGAAAATATGTCACTCAAATTCAAAGCAAATATAAATATCAAAGTTCAAGAAAACATAGTATGCATGCCAGTAAAAAGAATAACATTAGTTTTTTCAATAACATAACAACAAGTCAACAGTTGTTATCGGTGATTTTCGTCCCATTTATAACTCTAGACTAGACCTTCCCATACCATGACAACATGCGCACAAATTGTCTATCAACATTAGTACGTCACCCTTACATCCGGGTTAGGCTTGTTGTTCTGCCCGCCACACCGCCACGCCGTCTATGTCACGTGGTAACGAGGAGGGTTTACTTTACAATGTTTTTGTCAATAAACTTGAAATGTGTTGAAATGTTTTTCGCCAATAAATGTGTCTTGTTAAAATGTTTTTTTTTTATAAAATAAAAATATTAGTCCTATTAAAATGTTTTCGCCTATAAACTGTTATTGTCATATTGTTTTTATCAAGACATTTTTCTTGTTAAATTGTTTATTGTCAATAAGATGTTCTTGTTAAAATAACTTTACTAATAACTGTGTCTTGTTAAAATATATTTGTCAATACATTTGTCTTTTTTAAAAAAATTGTCAATAATTATGTGTGTTAAATAATGCTACTATATCACAAGCAGAATAGCACTTATTAATAAAACACAGACATGAATCAAATCGCTGATAGAAGCGAATGATCAGTGGTTAGTTTTCTGTACTAGTTCATTCATAGCTTGTAGCTGAAGATTAGCCAGTGTAGATGTAGGAAGTAGAAAGATAGACGTGTTGCGGGGTTTTATTTATTTAAACCCACTGAAAATCTTTATGGGGTATTTAACTTTCTTCAGCATCGAAATGTACTTTTTTAAAAGGGAAAAAAACTGAAGTCATTGTGACCAAAAAATAAATTACAGTAATTAAATTTTGTTGATGCAGTGGCGTAGCTAGGGGAGGGTGGGTGGGTCGGCCACCCCAGGTGGAAAATAGTTTAAAATGTTATTTTAAGCTAGGATTTTGTATTATACACAATCAAAGTTAAGAAAGTAAACTGCTACGTGGCTTTACACACTAATTTAACTGTTTCGACATCAAATGAATGGCACTAAAATAAAAACCTTTACGGTTTAGTGACTGTTAAAAGTGCCACCATCCTTTCCAAATGGTGGGGGGGGGGGGGGGGCATCTTTTTGCACCAGCTTGAATAACTATATAACATACGGAGGGAATGTAGGGGGGGGGGCATACATTTGATTGCTTGCCCCGGGCTCCTGAATGTATTGCCATTCTCTGTTTGGCTGCTTACTTCAAGTTCTGTATGTAGAGATGCTGCTTCTAGTTCAGCAACTGGTTTCGTGAGATCTTCTTCTTCTTCTTTTACTTTATATATATATATATATATATATATATATATATATATATATATATATATATATATATATATATATATATATATATATATATATATATATATATATATATATATATAGGTATATATAGTTCCTTTTGCCTCGTGAGACACAGAAATTGCGCAACGATATTAAATGTTTTCTTTTTGTGAAGGCTCTGTTGTGGCTGTTCATGCAAATCCTACAATAGCAATCTCTGCCACAAGCGAGATTTTTTGAAAAAAATAAATAAAAATATAAGAGACCGAATGCAGTTTTTCAGAAATAATATCATAACCGTTGTTTTTTTTTGTGTATCAGTGAATGCTGGAAAGCAACAATCTCTTCAATGTACATATTGGATGCTTTGTATAGTTTGTAGTAAGTACCAATGAAAGATAAATGGCATCCACTGGCCATAGACTACCTTTAATAAAAGGTTTCAAGAAAGTTGCAAAAGACTGGCTTTCTCTGCCGGTTCCATTTACCCTAGGCATCGACGGTAAAAGATGATGAATTTATACAACTTACTATACTATTACCATTCTGAGAAAAATCATGAAAAAATATATTTAAAAACATTTTTTTCGGTACACCTAAAAACTTAAGTTGACCGTCTTTGAATTAACATATCGATTCCTCATGTATTACATTTCGATGTTTTAATTGCAAAAAAAAAAATAATTCAAACTTCATTTTTAAAACACCTTGAAATTACTCATTGAAGTGAAAATGGCGATCAAACCAAGTACCAACATTACAAAATTTACGTCTTTATAATGATTTTAAAATTCTAAATACGTTTGGAAACAGCTGGAATTCATCTCCTAATTTTTATTTCTGTTTCAGTAAAGCACAAAGTACGAACAATAAGATTGTTTGTTGTTATAGTTGTGTATTTTTACAAGCTTTTGTTAACTGGCTTACCCTGTCTGTCTGTATGGGTCAAAACGGGCGAGCCCCTGGGGTCGGTTATCCGCTAAGCCACCCACTTACTTATCATTTGGATCCACCTAAGTAAGTCAAGCTTACTTTGAAAAGATATTAAAGGTAATACGACACGTATCCTTTAAAGACCGGCTAGACCTTTGTTATACTTACTCAAATTCGAAATGTTCTCGCTGTGAAATTGTAATTAATTACTCAATAGTTTAATTAAATGTGCAGATTAATTGTAGAATGTTCTATTCAATGTTATATCCTATATTACTTGTTACACAGAAGATTTATTAAAAGTAATATGCAAATGACGAAGTGGACGGCCGTTTTAGGTAGGTTATAACGTGGTATAGTGGACGGCCATTATAGCCAGGTTCACCAGTGACGTAGTAGACGGCCGATATTTCTAGATTAAAAAGTGCCGTAATGGACGGTCTTTACAACTAGGTTCACTGTAGGATTAGTGGACGGCCGTTATAGCTATTCTAAAAAGTGACGAAATGGACGGCCGTTATAGCTATTCTAACAATTGACGAAATGGACGGCCGTTATAGCTATTCTACCAAGTGACGAAATGGACGGCCGTTATAGCTACTCCATCAAGTGACGAAATGGACGGCCGTTATAGCTATTCTAACAATTGACGAAATGGACGGCCGTTATAGCTATTCTACCAAGTGACGAAATGGACGGCCGTTATAGCTACTCCATCAAGTGACGAAATGGACGGCCGTTATAGCTATTCTAACAAGTGACGAAGTGGGCGGCTGTTATAGCTATTCTAACAAGTGCCGTAATAAATTACTGCTATACCTAGGTTATAAAGTACATAAAGACCAAACCATCTAAGAATTCAGAGAAATATTAAACCAGTGATTTATCAGTTTTGTAATAATCAGTGTTGCTTGTAAATCGTTGAAAATAATATTTGCTTTGTCAGTTGCGCAATGTCAGGAAAACGTCCTTTTGTTCTAGTAAACATTATTTAATAAATCCCACTGCGGCGTTAGTATTAAATTTCAATATGTTCCATAATATAACTCTGGTTGGCTTATAGGGCTTAGAGCTACATTGCTAATGAGCCAGTGAGCATTAAATACAAACCAGTTTATTGTTAGAAAGAATGTTGTGTTAAGGTGCTCCCTTTGAATCCAGTTTGAGATATAAATGAAATAACCCGCATTCGTGTGTAATTAAAGCTATAGGATTTAGAGTCTTATACAGACTGAGCCAGTGAGGGATTAAGGGGGGAGGGGGGGGGAGGGGAAAAAGCAACAGCCTGGAGACCCCGATTATTTTTGGGCCCCACAATTACTTTTACAGACTATAATAAATTAAAGTTGAACAGTGTATTCTGTTTATACTAGTTAAATGTCATGGAGAGGTAAAAGCAGATTTTAAAAAAATTAACAAACAAAAATCAACTTAAAATCACAGAACATTTAAAAACAAAGTTTAATTATTTCCTGCTTGCACATGGTTTACTTAAAGCGTATGTGCCTAAAATAATATATTTTAATTCTGACGTAGTGAGCTCACTAATTAATCACACTCACTAATTAATCTAGCTGTAACGGCCGTCCACTACCTCACTAATTAATCTAGCACTAATTCACATTTAGCTATAGATCCTGAGTGAGGTTTTCCTAACAATGCATTTGAATTCCACATTGGATTTGAATTTATATATATATATATATATATATATATATATATATATATATATATATATATATATATATATATATATATATATATATATATGGGGGCGCCAACATTGTAAGTTCGCCCCGGGCGCCGGGAGGGGTCGCTACGCCCAGTGCCGGCGCCAGGTTATTTAGCGCCTAGGCAAAACTTAGTAAAAGCGCCTCTTCCACCCCCCCCCCCCCCCCCCGCAATTTTTTTCGTGCCCTCGTATTATCAGAGGCGTAGCGACCCTTACCTACGCCCGGGGACAAACTTTCGATGTGTACCCCACCCCCTCAAACTTTCGATTTGCACCCGCCCCCCTCAAACTTTCAATTTGTTTTTCCAACCCATTTTGGCGCCCCCCAACGGACAGCGCCCTAGGCGACCGTCTAGTTCGCCTTATAGGTAGCGCCGGCACTGGCTACGCCTCTGTGTTTATGAGAAAAAAAACAAGCTTATTTTCCGTGATATGAAAGAGAAGTTGACTGTCGAAATTGGCCAGATAAATTGTCGTGCACGTATCCTGATGTTTACCAGCTAACACCACTTCAACTATTCGACTGATATTGACGTTAGGGTTATCACACATGGGCAACCAATCCTGTACTCGGGCTGAAAGTGTACCCAGTTAGGGGGGGGGGGGGTTCTTTAACACGCATTAGTTGGTAGGGATCAACGTATTTAAAGAGACGTTTGTAATTTCCAGGAAAAAGATATAAGAGTGTTAAAAGAATTAAAATTTGACCTCGCTTTGGTAGAGAAATAGGCTTGATTTTCCAGATTGGCATGGGAAGAGGTTAATTAGTCTATGTATAAATTAGTCACTAGTATAACATATAATAATATATTCATAATATTTTGTAATCAAAATGACGAATCTAGTGTTATATATTTATAACAATACTGAAAAATTTAATGTAATGAATCAATGAAACAAAGCATTAACAAATAAGACTAAAACGATAGTGAGTTACTTTGAAAAATGGAAACAGATTTTAAAAGTGATGACCAATTAGAACTCACCAGAGAGTAGGCCTATGTCGCTGGAGCAATAGGCCTAGATCGTGTACTGCTGATAATATCAGCCGAGAAAACTGTAACACAGATGTCACCCACCACACAATTACGTACCTGTGTCCACACACACACATGTGTCCCCACACCAAAACACACATGTGTCCCCCACATCAGTTACACAAACTGTGT